CTGCTCTCCAGAGCAGTCAATAAGCAGTTTGGTATTTTACTGCCTAGCAAGCAGAGACTTTCTGCAGTCAGTCTGCTACTCCTGCATTTTCATAGTGTTAATCTCATAGATTATCTGAGACTTCATCCTAGCTGGTAACTAAGACCAAAAAGTATTCCAGGCCGAGGGTTCAGAATCCAGCACAAAGGCAGCAGTCTTATTTGCAAACATACTGGAACTGAACAGCACAGACCCGCTTTTCTGCCTGTAAAAGGAACAGTTGTGCAAGTCAGTTCACACCTCTGTGCCTGCCTCAGTTTTCCCATCTAGGAATGAAAACCAAAATCTAGAAACTCCCCTAAATAAAGCAGCTCCCTACCATCACCACCCCCACATTTAAACACTCAGCAGTGAGTATGGTTTATCAGCTTGCAGCTGGCAGCTGTGTCCCCTGTCCTGGTCCTGTTCCAAGAGGGCAAGGCTGGGACATGGAGAAGGGTAACTCACCCTACCTGATGAAGAGCCTGTGACTCCTTTATTTCACAAACTTTGCTATTAATTCTGAGAATCTTCCACAACTGTCATATGTAATGGGGCTATCATTAGCAAGGCTACATTTCTCAGACATCACTTTCTCCTCCAAGTTCCTGGTGCTCTGCATGAAATTGGAAGGCGTCAGGCTGGGTGCCTGCTTACTGCCTAAGTGCAAGAGCTGATAATGATGCCCTCGCTCCTGCTAGCAGGGATGCTGGCCACTGGTCCCTGTAACCAACTCTCTTTTACAGAGCGAAGGCAGCAGCTGCGACTGTACAGCCAATATAAAGAATTTTCCAGATAACCAGACACTGATCAAGCGCATGATGATTAAATGTGCAGATGTAGCAAATCCATGTCGCCCCCTAGAGCTATGTATCGAATGGGCAGGGAGGATTTCAGAGGAGTATTTTGCACAGGTACGCATATTTTTATAATTTGACTATTATGTTATGTGACAAAGTGCACATCAGTTGGGTCTGCTGTTCCACACGGGGTCTGCCTGGCATCACAATGGAGTCTAGATGTATGCTTTTTGTCCCCAGCCAGAACTGGACCCTCGATTTCATGCAGAATTCACTCCAGCCAAAGTTAGCTAGTTTGCTTACCATGAAGCTTGCAGTACAGAGTGGTGGAAAGGAGGTGTTACACTTTCAGCTTTCTCCATCTGGCCAAAACAAAATTATTTGATTAGCCTTAGTCAATTTAATTTGCTGAAATTCAAGAGCGTCACCATTCTAGCTTCTAGTCCCAATACCTTCCCTGAAAAGAGCATGAAGATCGATGCCTGATGAAGCCCTCAACTGAATCATCAGGCTGGCCCTTTCTCTTCTAAGATGGCACCTGAACTATTGTCACGGTAGGCAGATGATGTAGTAGGCCAGTACTGCAGCTATGTGGGCAGTGTAAATGCTTACCACATGGGATCGCTCCAGACAGAACTGGAAGCTCAACTTCCTTTCTTAATATTCAGCTTTTCTAACACAAATGCACCAGCTTCCTGAAAGTGCAACGCTCTTCTAGTTCTTTATTTGAACACCTGCTAGATTCTTAGCTTTCATTTGCCACTAATGGTGCAGAAATCAGCAGCTATGACTGGAGAGACAGAAAAGTGGGCATGCCTACCATCCAAATTCAGATCATACATGTGATAGTTAGTTACTACTGAAGAAAATTGTAGGTAACGCCTGGGACGTGTGAACTTCATTTTAATGACAGTGAATAAATCTGATCACTTCCTAAGTAAGATCAAGGATCACTTAGGCTGTATCTCCCTAGCAGTCAAGGTATCGTGAGCTAGCTTTAAACTGCCAATCTTAGGCACTAGCCTACTAGCAATGTAAGGTGCTGAGAACTGCTCTGCTCTTCATTTGCTTTTTCTGGTAATTTTGGGGACTGCCCTGCTGCCACTTCCAGCATTAGGTGCTGCCTACACTATTCAAAATGGGGTTTTTTGTAATTAAATTCCAAGACTGTTGAGGTGATTGGCTCCTCCACTATACCGAGTGTAACAAAACCAGCCCGCTTCCAGTTGTGGACACAGAGTCAAAGGGCATACCCTTACTTCTATTCATCTTATAACCCAATACACACAGAGAAAGTAGTGACAGCAACATCCCTCTTACCTGAAGGACAAATGGTTTGAAACAGCCACTAGAGATGTGGAAAAGAGCTCAGACTTGTCATCTGCTAAAGGACTCTTCAACCCCATTTTCCTTTTTTAGCTGGTGTGCCCTAATCACCAGATTGGAGCGTTCTGTCTCGCCAGAGTTAAGAGCAATCGCAGCACTACAATAATAAAGTACTTGTGAAAGGGAAGCAATGTTGATTTCAGTCCCTGTTCCAGATGAAAAAAACACATGAAACTAAAGCAATTTGCCTCTGGGGTTCTAAGGTTTGTCGATCTCAGATCTCCTACTGCAATTCATCTAATCCCCTGGCCTTTGCTACAGTAGCATGAAAGCCAGCAAAGCTCTAAGGGCTAACTGGAGTTTTGTTTTCTTAGACTGATGAAGAGAAGAGACAGGGTCTGCCTGTTGTAATGCCAGTATTTGATAGAAACACCTGCAGCATCCCCAAGTCTCAAATTTCCTTCATTGATTATTTTATAACAGATATGTTCGATGCGTGGGATGGTAAGTACTTCTGCTTTTTTCTTTCTTGCTCTAAGGCAGAGGTTTCCACAGAGTAAAACGAATAATCTCAAGCTGGCCTCGAGTCCAATTTTTTTCAAGGGCAGTACCTGTATATAAGCAGTATAGCATAGGATCTAAGCAACAATGCTGCTGAAGCCCATTTCACTGCACACACCACCAGCTTTATGAAAGTTGAGCGTTTACCAGACAATCTCTGTAAAGAAGGAAGGAGTAATGGTTTAGAACTAAGCTTTTTTTCATCTAGGTCTTTTTTCCTTTAGCAATGTATTTCTGAGCAGCAGAAACTGAGACCACAGTGGTAGCATGTTAGCATAATTTAATAAAGTCACCGTACATAAGGGACTTGCTTGAAAGAGTAACAGACTGAAAAAAAAAAATCTGTCCTCTTTTAGCATTAGCTTACAGCTGAAGGAACAGAAAAGTAGGAGAATTTCAGATGAGGTTGGGCTGTTCTTCTGCCCAGTCTGTATACATAGTACAATTCTTTCTCCTGTTCATTTCAGCATTTGCACATCTGCCTGTTTTGATGCAACATTTGGCTAATAACTACAAACACTGGAAAACACTGGATGAGTTAAAGTGCAAGAGTCTCAGGCTCCCACCGGAAAACAACAACTAACACTAAGGCAAGAAAAACAGACCTCTTGATCTACCAGTTTCACTGTGAATCACTTACTGACTTGGCTACAAGAGGGATGGTGTTTCCTTTCCAGTGAAATTCAGACTGCATGGCAAGAAGGAAATATTTTATTCATCACTTTTAAGCTTCTTTGAATCCTACACAAAAAAGTTTTCAAAAAGGCTACATAATCCACAGATTAAAAAGTGCTCTTTGGAAATAACATTTTGTGGCAGAAAATGTACTTCTGAAACTAATTTCTAATACTGAATATGTGTTTGTCAAATCTTGTAATTGATAGAACTGTATTCATTAACACTTCACACATCTGTTTCTGAGACAGAGGGGTAATCTAGTCACCAGTAGAGTAAGAATAGGTTGACAAATAAGCATAAAAACTTCCCACTTATCTAGCATAAATTTGCTCCAATTCCATCAATGTTCTTCAGCTCTCTGAATCATAATTCTAAAGAGAACATGCACAGCAGAACAAGTAAACCTCAATAAATTGGATACAGTAAAGAACAAACCCTGCATAAGTTAAAACAACCTTCTTCTTACAGAGACCGTCTCTGAGCACTGCCTGTTCTCTCTTCTTTTCCATATAAAATTGTGGTAGGAATCAAATTCCCTTAAAATTGGCTATATAATGGAGGAAAATAAGCAAGTTCTGTATAATTGGTGCCATCCACATGTTCCTCTGCCATCTTAGGAGATGTTATGATGCAATGTTTCATCAAATTTTACACAAAAAACATTGTGGCACTTGATCAACATCCTTTTTTATAAAGTGGTGTTTGTACACATGGTCATCAATTTTCTTAAACCAATCTAAATTTTATGAGAAGTCCATATATTGTGCTACTTAGTTCTAGGATGAACCTGTTGCTTTTTAAAAAAAGTTTCCAGGTTACAATTTGTAACAGCATTGTAATTTGTACTGCTTTTTCCCTCATAATAAAATGCTGGTTTGTTTTGTGATGTAAAAAGTATTTCAAAAGATGTAAATAGGTTAAAATCAAACAAAGTTTTTCATTAAAGATACAAAATTTATGCTAAAGCTTCCACAGCACAAAGGCATATTTTTGTACATCTCATTTTAATCACATGCAGAACACGAACATGAGTTCAAATTTTAGACTATTGTCAGACTATTCAGTTAATAAATACTAGCAGAACTGCTGATTTTTAACACTGTGCACTCCACACCACGCAAAAGCATCAAAGCCACAGCTGCAGCTGAAGCAGTCCACTACTCGTTAAAAGGAAACGTCTCAGCTGACACATATTCTTTACCTCCCCTATGCTTTAGCAAGAACTGAACCCAGTAAACAGAAAAAAAAACCCAACAAAATCAAGTTTAGATTGCTGTGGAAGAAAAGTGACAATGATTGTGGTTTACTGCAGGTAGCTTACATAATGTGCCAACCTTTTTTGTATGTTTTGTACGAAGTTCTGAAACAAAAGGAAACATTCATAAAATGTATGTGCAGAGAAATGTATATAAGCTATATTTTTGTTAGAATTGTAATAGAACCTTACTTCTGTCATAGCTAAGGCAGGCTGCTGTGTATTAAAATGTTGCATTGTGTATATTTGAAGAATGGTGTTTCTGGTGAAGTACGTTTATTCATTCTTTCTTATTATCTACTGCAACACTCTTCAATGGATTTTTATTCAGATAAGTCAAACCTCTGTTTTTAGAACTTTATTTAGAACTAGTGCTCTCAGTGGTTGTATCTTAACTATTCTGATGACTGAACACTCACTGTAGCTTGCATTAGAGAAAAAAATTTCACAAGACTCAAAGCTTTGTCATCTTAATTTAATTTGTTAAATACAGCAACACTGTAAGACCACATCCATGTAAAACATTTCAATTCATTATTTTTGTCACACTTCTGTCACAAGGAAGAAAATGTGAATGGTGGAAGGAATCTAAGAAATAAAGTTCAGCCTCAGTTCTGGTTCACGAGTTAAGGTGTTAATGCGGAATCAGTATATTTGTTGCAAGATCCCGTGTTTCTTCCCACAGTCAGAGACTAAGCAAAAAAAGTAATTTGTGTGAAGATATGTCCTCTTTAATCATCATCTGCCAGCTGTGTCAGATATCTTAAACTCTAACCTGTCCAGTTAACTAACAGCTGCTTGTTTCATGCTTTTGTCAGTGCACACATATGTAAAACAGCCACCTCAGAATGGTACAAGTAATAAGGGTAGATCTGATAAAGATATTTACTTTCATGATGTGAACATACGGAATTCTGCACTACTGTGAGGTGGAAAAAGCAATTAAAAGGACATAAGGTAGAAGTAAAAATTCTCATCTGGTCACCCTAATTCTGCTCACTGCATTTCCCAGCAGCAAGTGACAAACTCTTACTTACTAGGAGTAGGCTAGTATAGCCTTACTGCGTTCACTGTTATGCTTAAAAGTTCATTTGTAAAACAAAGAACTCGATTCAATGCTTTCAACTCAACCATCTTTGAAGGAAGAGACTCTTGGGAGATCTATTACCAAGGGAGTATATCTGAGAACCATGGCACTTCTGATAGATAGAAATATTTATACATGCATGTAGGACTCTTTAAGGCTGAATTACATCCCTGTAAAGTGCACAGGGAGTTTTGTGACTAGAACTGTTCAGTTAAACAGGTCTGTTTCTCTACCAGGTATTCACTTAAAAGCAGTCACATAAAAATGAAATAGTCATTCTCATGGTATAGGAAGAAGACATAATAAAAAGATAATGGTCCTTCTCTCTAGTTGTAACTGATGGTAGCAGTAGCCTCTCCAAAACAACTAAGTTTTATAAGCTTTTGCTGTAAAGTTTTAGTAACAATGTGTAAACACACACTTTATATACAGCTAAACAGTTATTTCTCAATTTAAACAAGGGAAACAGAGCCAAAGAGAACCTGATCTCCTCAGCCTCTACTGGGGTAGCCAAAAATGCAACACTTGCTGATGAAGACAGGCTGAAACAGTGCAGACTGACAGGCAGAAAGGCTTAACATGCCTTCCTCCTCCAAGTTCAATACCATACACCCAAAGGTATGTTATCATTAGCTGCAATGCAAACACTTTTCCTATGCTGGTCTATTGAATAGCCACACAGAGCAAAGAACATGCAGCTCAAGATTTAACACTGACTTAACCTTCCTGGATTGAAGGGAGAGAGTAATTTAACAACTCTCCATCTCTTCTGCGTTTTTCAAAGATGGCATTTTGAGCTCTACACTCAAATAAGACTGGTTGTACAAGTTGACTGAAGTGGGGAAAAAAATATAACTCAAAATTTTACTGTTCCTCTGCCCTGTCTTCCAGGGAAGATTATGGTCAGACTCAAGAGGCAAAGCTTGACTTCTGTGTGGTAGGGGCAAGGCAAGTGCCCACAGGGGCTGGGGGAAGCAAGTCTAAAAGGCTCCTTGTTTTTTTCTAGGAAGCTTGGGCTTCCTCCTTTTGCTTCTGCTCTTGTCAGGATCTGCTTAGTCCTTTGTTTTAATAGCACTTAACTGCAGCCACTGGTTCCTAAATCTGGAATTACAGCCCTGTAGTCCCCTGCACTGGAAACAGTTCTCTGATTCAAAGGGAAGAGATGGCACTGAAAAGTTGCATGACACTTACTCCTAACTAAGTGCTGGACCTTCTGAGTAGACCTGAGGACAGCAGCACCGGCTTCTACATGGCTTTATGACCACTAAGTTCCCAAACTCCCCGCTTTCCTAGCTCTCCTCTGTTGGAATGGTAACTTAGCACTCATTATCTTATCCTCCCTCCCACTTTCTTTGTATCAGTTCTGGGTTTAACTTTGCCTTTGTTTTTTCTTTTGGGTTTTTGTTGCTTTGGTTTGCAGTTTTTGTTTCAGTTTGGAGTTATTTTCCTACTCCTGTTTAGCTTGGAGATTACTGCTGCTACCTGCAGCTTGAAAAAGGCATTGTGTACTTAGAGACTTCTTACTTTTAAACTCTAAAATACTATTTATCCTTACAAACTTGTGCCAGATTCCTCTGCAGTCAAACTTCACGTAATAATTTAGTACTCATCCGACAGAAGTGTTTTGCTAGCATTGAACACATCAACTGCTCCTGCTTAAGAAAGTATTTTACATCCAGAAAATCCATAGTAAGGCCAGTGCTTTTTATTAGATACAAATTAATTTGATGAATGCATTATGGAAAAGACTAAGCTAAACTAATCACACTTCATGCTAGACATGGTAATGGTGCTGTATAAACTCCAATAGTGTAGGTTAACTCACGGTAAAACTGCAACTACTGCCAGCAAGGAGTATCTATATAACTTGTTTTGCCAAAAATTAAAACCTGACAGACCGGTGTTGCCTACTTTTCTTTCTTGCTCTTACCCTTGGTGCAGGATAGAATTTTTGCATTTGAAGTTACTATTTGAGAACTGTTTCTTTTAGGTTTTTTTGTAGATACATAAATCTGAGCCATCAGCAACTACAGTTTAGTTCAAGAAACAAGTTACATAAAGCAGGAAGCCTCAGGGTTTTTTTCTGTGCCTTGTTTCTGCACGTAATACTGTGGAATGCCCCCAACTGCTTTAGTTATGATCTGTCTAAGGATTTTCACAGATCTTGATTTTGACATCCACCCATGATACTTTTAAACATTAGGAATAATATTAGAAACTATTTAATTAGTCGATCATTATCTTCAGGCTTTCAAGAGAACACCACTTCTGCTGACAAAGTAAGCCAAGTAAGTTTCAACAAGCAAAATTCTCCTTTGAGAAGAGTAGTAGCAACTAATAAAAAATCCAATATAATACATGACATTAAGCGTAAACCTTACTGGTTGTCCCATTCCCAGTAGCTCAGACTTTCCTTTACACTCACATTTAACACACATGCAGGTTACACATATGTAGCCTGTATTTGAGCAATTTAAAATTTGACCTGCAAATCACCATTTTGCGCCAATTTTTGAAAGAGTGTTAAACTGCGGAGTCTAGATTCTCGTTCACCATCCTTCCACAAGATAACGAGGTGGTCAGCAGAGCATGTAGCCAGTCCCAGTTCACCAAAGTACAGGAACATCTGCAATGAAACAATTACTATTACCATGATGCTCACATGAGATTGTCAGCTTCCTTAAATATTCAGTGTACAGCTGGACTAAACAAATACATGTGTCTGAAATGGTTCTGCTTGAACATAGGTATGCAAAATTACAATGAATACCTTCTATATGTTTGAGATGTCATAAAATCCCTACATGAAAAGAACTCTTTAAAACAGCAGTTCACACAGGAAGATCTCAGTTTAGAAAGAGCAGTAAAGCCTTACAGATAGGGAAGCTAAGATACAGAATATTGAAGAAACTTGTTCTAAATCAGCAGTAGAAGAGCGAGTGACTTGTGTGAACGCTGATCTCCTGATTTCTTAGGAACAGAAGCCACTGTTCTGTTCACTTGGGTACACTGTCCCCTTCCCACACAGCACCACAGGCTACCATCACCAGGCCTGGAAGGATCAAAGAGTAATCAGCACGTGCCTGGTCACACATAGGAAGCCAAATCAGCTAGAACTGCAACAAAGAAGAAAAGTACAGCAGCACTGAAGGGCTTATGCGAGAGCAGTGGAGCTGACAAGCCATGTAGTCATTCCTGACTTCAAAGGCCTCCACAAGGCTGCCTAAAACTAGCCACTAATTGTAGTTCAACACAACAGCCAGTGGAAGCAGGTCACATGATGCCACTATGGCATGCTTGCAGTGTCCTGACTCTTCACCTTGTTGAAGGGATCTGCCCAGGGAAAGCATTCAGGCCAAAGACTGTGCTACAGCCAACCTGCTCTGGGAACAGCCACTTACTAGCTATGTGGCTCTGGCCAAGCCCACATCATTTCATCACTACTCAACATTTCCAGCCTCAACTGCTCCAGTCTGCCCAGAGTTTAAAAATCGAATTTTCCATACATAGAACATTGCCAGAAATCACATCCACCATCATCTCAGTTACTCCTTGGCTCTGCAGCATCCCAGCAAAGCCCCTACATATGCGTCTCACCTCCTTTCCTGTGTCTCTTGCTGAATTACACACTATGTCCTCTTTCTTAGAGAGCAAATCTCCATATTGATAATAGGGCCTCTTTCAACAGTTGTTCAGAAAGAAAGATAGTAGAGAGGGGCAGAAAGCCTTGCAGGAATCCCTGTAGCAGAAAGGTTCACCTTAGCTACTAGTGAAAAGCTTTCAGCTTTTGGCAGTAGCAGTTCTGAAATCCAGTCAGTCTCACGAATACCTGTGAGCAAAACTACTGCAGAACCATACCGCTCCTCTCTACCTGCCCTTCCCCCTGCTCCTGCCAAGAATGTGTATAAAAGTCCACTGTAAGAAAGTGATTTGTTACTCCAACAGGTTTGTCAAATGCAAAAAGGTACGGAGGGAAAATGCCATATAAAACAAAAACATACGCTATTAGGCCGACAGAAGCATAGAATGGTACCTGATTGTCGTGGTTTAACCCCAGCCAGCAACTAAGCACCACGCAGCCACTCACTTATTCCCTCCCACCCAGTGCGATGGGGGAGAGAGTCGGGAAAAAAAAAGGAAAACTTGTGGGTTGAGATAAGAACAGTTTAATAGAACAGAAAGGAAGAAACTAATAATGATAATAACAACAATAATAAAATAATAATAATAATAATAATAATAATAATAATAAAGGATTGGAATATTCAAGTGATGCACAATGCAATTGCTTACCACCTGCTGACCAACGCTCAGTGAATTCCTGAGCGGTGATCCCCCCAGCCACACTCCCCCCAGTTTATATACTAGACATGATGTCACATGGTATGGAATACCCCTTGGCCAGTTCAGGTCAGTTGTCCTGGCTGTGTCCCCTCCCAACTTCTTGTGGCCGTCCAGCCTTCTTGCTGGCTGGGCATGAGAAACTGAAAAATCCTTGACTTAGTTTAAACATTACTTAGCAACAACTGAAAACACCAGTTTTCATACTGAACCCAAAACACAGCACTATACCAGCTACTAGGAAGACAATTAACTCTATCCTAGCTGAAACCAGGACACTGATCTAAAATTAAGAGACCTCCTTAAGGCCCACAGCACAGGTGGCTAAGAAATTCCTGAATGTGTTGTTTTATATGAGCCCTTGTTTAGACTGCAAACTTAAGATGAAATCTGGAACAAACAGGTAGTTCCCAGCTCTGTTTGCAGTCTATAAGGAAACCCAATACCCCACCAGATTATCTGTAGCATGTATGTATATACATAAACACACAATCCTCCAGCATCAGTGAGTGTCTGAGTTCTCATTAGAACATCAAGTCAGTATGTATTGTTGTTTTCACACTGCACTAAATATATCACACAATCAGTATGTTCCCAGCCTCCAGAGCCAGATAGTCAAAAGTTACAACTGTTTAAGAAACACTGCCAAAATTACATTAGTAAGTGAAATTCACTTTTTTCTTATTCTTACTAAAGCTGACCTACCTGCACAGCTGATGAATGACCAATCAAATCACCAACCAGCTCCAAGAAATACACAGGTGTATTCTCCTGCATTTTCTTTGCAGCTTGGTTTGCCTGCTTGTTTGCCCTTCCAAATCCCCACATGTTGAAAAACCCTGGGAAAAAAAAAATCTTTTATTTTGGCAAAAATCACAAATACAATTTATTTCCTCTAGCTAAAGAGAGAACTACAGGAGTCACTTGAAATCTAAAAGCAGGACAGTCTGCATGAAAAATGACAGAAGCATTGTACTGCACAGTATTTCTACATCTAGATTATTCATCCTGAGGAGAAGAAACATAGCTACTTTCTCTTTTATCCTTACTAGAGGTAATTTAGCAGCCATGTTGAATTACTCACCTGGATGAGACAATACACAGATTTAGCAAGAAATCCAAGGACTGCCTAAATGAACTAACTGAACAAATGTAGATGCAGGACAGTGATATTTACCTTTGCTCTGTCCTCCTAAACTGTTACTTGTGCAAAGAGGAGAGAAATGAGATGCCAGTCCCTGTGTGTCCCACACTAAGGCATTAGAGTGCTGGCATACAGGTAACAAGCAAGTTTCTGAAGCTGAATTGCCTAGTTTTATACTGCCCACTGGCTTTCTCCTTCAGATTTAAAACTATCAGCCAAACTGGACTATAAACATATTACTCCACATGTTCCATTTATTGCAAGAAAATACACATCTGTGCCACAGACTCCAGAAGAACTGTGTAATAATACTGACAGAAGTAAGCAAGTTGGGTTCTGTACACAATGCAGTTCAGACTTTCTTCCTGACCTTTCCCTCAGCCCTGTCAGCACACAAAACAAGAAGTGTGCTAGACCATGGCTCTGGTGCAAGGGAGATAACTGGAGAGATGAACACCTACTCAGGGGATTCCTCAGAATAAAAACAGAGCAAGTCAGCAGCAGTCCACCTATCTCACTGTTGCATACGGTTTCTTTCAAATGTCTCACATCATAGAAATTATAAATTTCCAATGTGAAACCAAATACCACTTGTCACAATAAGAAGCAGAACTGTGTAAATCAGCTGTCACCAGCAATACTGAAGACAGAACATTCCTGAAAAAAAGTGTTTCTAAATCAACCCAGCCTGCTTGCTGGTGGGGTGGTATGAGAAGCAGAAAAGGTCTTGACTCTTGTGTAAGCACTGCTTAGCAATAACTAAGACATCCCTGAATTATCAACACTGTTTCCAGCACAAATCCAGAACATAGCCCCATACTAGCTACTATGAAGAAAATTAACTCTATCCCAGCCAAAACCAGCACACATCCAGAGGTAGCATGTAAGTGAGGTTAGATACAGCCTCAAAGTGAGTACCAGTGTCATTCCAAGTTCAAGGAGGAGATGCGGAAAACACATTTTTTGTGCCAGATGCTCTTCTGCAAGCTTCTCTTCAGCTTTCTTCACAAGGTCCTACAACTATTTACTCTTGCATGGTAGAGGATCCAGCACTATTCAGTACAAGAAGTAGATCAAGGTTTGTCAGGAGAGGTCGTAATTTTTGTTAAACCAGCTGACACAACTGTAAACTTTAAATAAGATTTATGGCACAGAACTGCTTCAGCTGGACCTTCTAACTTCCCGTATCAGATCTTGGAGGGCTCATATATCCATGTCTTCAATTTCCCTCCCACACCTGTTATCAGCTGGTTGAACACAAGACATTATCTCTTCTTACAAAGCCTGTAAACCTCTCTATTCCTATATAGTGAATACGGGGTTTCCCGTTACCCTTTTAAAATGTTCTTTTCACCCCCCAGTAATAGCAAACCTGTCGGAACTGGTTCAGCTGGCAGCTGCTGCTTTTCTCGCAGCTCCCAAATGCGCACACTGCCATCTTCTGAACAGGAGATCAGCTGCCTGTAAAAACAGTTGATAAGCAACACTAGCATGGATATTTATCTGCGCAAGTTACCTTGTGTTGCTTCCATAAAAGAGACAGCAAGTGCCTCAGGTTCTGCACAAGTTTGCTAGAACTCTCAAATGTAGCAGGAAATCCAGATGTTCCATACAAAACAAGGTGCATTTGTAGCAGGACAAACTGTAATGGACTTACAAGATAGGTGGGAAAAAAACCCATATTTTCAATCCCGTTTTAAAAGCATACCACTCCATAAACACAAAAAATAGACTTTGCAAACGCTGTTCCACTAACTGGCTTCTGTAAGCTTACTTTCATTACGGAAAAACGTATTTATGAAAAACATATTTTTTCTTATGAAAAAAATGAAAGATACTCCTTTTCATTACATGTTTAGAACTGTACATGCATTTACAAGATCAAGGCCCTAATTTTTACCTTCTGACAGACTTTTGCTCTATTGAACAAGAGTATAAAGGGATCTAACAACACAACTATTAGATCATATATATGTAGCAAATTGTCCAACTTGGCTGTCAAAATAAGTTCCAGCTAGAAATTTAGCACTAATGAACAAGGCTGGAAGTTACTATTTTTTGTTAAGACAGTTCAACAGTTACCAAATATTTAGTGAAATATTTACTGAATATGCCATAGGCCTTTGCTTTATAGAAGTAAAATGTCATTAAGCTATATTTTCACAACATAGGCAAAAGTGCTTTATCAAGTCTGATTTTGAAAATAGCCAAGATATTTTACTCTGAGCCTGTGCATCAAGCATACCAGATTACAGTTTCTTCACACTGAGTTACAATGATGCATTTTCAAAAACCAGATCAACAAGCTCTATCTAATTAAAGCAGATCAAACTAAAGATCAAGTCCCTGCCCTAGAAATTAGATGTAGCTTTGCAGACTGTCTCTAGCCACCCTCCAAGTTCTGCATTTCTTTACTGCGTTAACAAAATGTACCATGACCTGTACCTGTTTGGAAGCTTTTCAATGTGTAGTACAGAGGATTCATGAGCAGTTCTCTGGCAGGCAATCACACGCTTCATTTGAAGATTATATACATATATGCCTTTCCCAACAGCAGCAAACACACACTGGAAAGAAAATTCAATGGAACAACTTACAGGAACAGATACTGAAGGATCACCCTGCATGGATTTCCAGTAGTACTATGATGTCATCTAGCCCATATTATCTAGCTTGTTTCTGTCCTCATGTTACTGCTTTATCCCAAATATATGGAATCAGCAAGTTATTAAAAAATTATGGATTTTTTGGAGGAAATGAGAGATATCCTCCAATACTCTAAGCAGTTGTTTCACTTCTGTATTTTCATCCTGTACCTTACAGTCTAAGCAGAAACCAAGCATACCAACAATCAACACATTTCTGCAATTAAACATTTATGTTCTTACACTAAAATAACGTTCTGTGTTTTGACAAACTCTTGTTTTATCAAGAAAGATTGACAATACAGGAAGCTCTTTCGCATTTTTGCCTTTTTTTTTTAAATTTAACTGAAAGTGCGCAAAGGGGTCTCGCCCAAGAAATTGGGCTCTACTGAGTGTAGAAAAGGAACTCTCTCACAGAAAGGTATTACACAATACTGCAAAGGTCTGGAACCAATTTTGCATTCAGTGCTCTTCAGAAGAGTGCAGGGATTCTGTCTCATAACCATCACGGCCCTAAGAAGCCACAAGCAGTTTAAAAATCATTGGACCTGGACCCTTTCATGACTTGTAATGATTTTAGAGAGGACAAACACACAATCATGTGTACATACACACAATAAATATTTGGTACCAGAGAAGTGTAAAATGCTTCCATTCAGTACTTATTTGGGTTTTTGAACATACCTTGTTTTGGTGATGGTATGCTGGATCTTCTCCCTGAATGGCCTGCTTCATCTACACAGCCCAAACATTAATGTCTCATAAGCAGTTCACACTACACACTTTGCCAACATTTTGTAAAACTGATAACGCAGCATCTTTGACTAAGATTTCCTATCTATATTCAACGGTGTTTTGACACTGTTCAAAACTTTGTCCAGGTTTTTGTTGGGTTTTGTTTCAGGTTTGGTTTGTTAGGTTTTTTCTTTTCTTATGCACACCTGTGATTGGAGTTCCCATAGCTCTGAAACTAAGCTCAGATAGCACTCTACCAAATCAAGGAAAAAACACTGAGCCCATTTTTATTATTTTCCTAGTTTTATGTGAGGCTCACTCTGATGGCCTTCCACATCACTCTTCCACTCCTATATCTCAGCCTTTTCTCCCTTACAGTCTTCCACCCTGAGACAGGTCTTGAGTTTCATATAGTCTTACAGCTTTGCAAAAGATGCTCTTCACAGATCACACTTTAAAAAAAAAACAAACAAACAAAAACAAACAAACAAACAAACAAAAAAAACCACAACCAAAACCAAACAAACACACAAGCCCTGGCAAAACCCTGGTCATCTCAAACCATCCCAAAAATAACAAATGATGAAGCATAAAATTATACACCTATCTTAACCAGCAAGTTAAAGACACACTCACACTTGTCAGGACAGCAGATGCACGCCTTAGCACTGTTTCCTAGTATTGCTGAACCTTTACCATCCCATTTGTTTCTGAATGACGTTTTGCCTACAAACTCGGTCAAACTAGACAAGTGCATCTTCTCCAATTACCTAACTACCAAGCCTGTTGACAAAGTTTCTAACAGAGAAAACACCAACTTTTTTTTATTTATTTATTTTTTTTAACATGAAGAACAGTGTTCTGCTTTTAGATAGCAGGTAACAAAGTAATTCATTAAAGGAATACATTTCTTCACCACTTTAAGTAGGAACTTTACAATACAGACAGCTCTGCCCTAAAAGCACCTTCTATTGCAGGACACACTGCTAGAACCACCTTTTCTTCCCACCATTCAGAAGTCTCACAATAAATAAAATTCTGCAACAATTCATTTAGTTCAATTCCATGAATGGAAGAAAGTCCTCAGCAGCCTCAGATTCAACATGCAGTGTTTTAACTACTTCTGAACTTCCCAGAATTCTTTTCCCCTCCCTTAAAACACATCTTGTATAGCTTTCAAGCAGGGAATCAAAATATTCTGAAGGTAAATTATAGAACTTCTCCTGAAGAGGACTGGCTTTTTGGTCCTTCTAGAACTAAGCAGCCACAACAAAACCACTGGAAATCCTACCTTTAGGGACAACTACATCTCTTTCCCCCCACCCCAATGTTTCTCTCTCCAGTGTTTTAGGAATGCTCTTTTCACAGATAGTAAAATGCATCAGGTGACTACCTGGCCCTCCTGGCCCTCAGCCTACATTCAGGCTTCTCCACAGATTTTATTTTGTTATAGCTCATCTCTCTGAAACAATTTCCAGGAATCCCTTTCTTAATCATTCCTCAGCAATGGGCCTACAGACCCCAAAACAAAATCTCACTGTATCCCAACCATGAAACATCTTTTCTTTTGCCACTAACAGTTGGTAACATTTCACAAAAGTAAGTAACAGCCTGAGGATATTTAGTGTTTCCTGAACAATAACTGGGTTCTATCTGAGTATTCCGACCAAGAACTCTTAGATTATCTCCAAAGCACGATTACAGTAGACTGGATTTTGGACCTGTATATGTGCTCTTTATAATTGAGTATAGCCCACCTGTACAGAAGCAGCAATATTTATTTACTACTAAGCACAGACATATGCCTATTCTTTAATTCACCTCATAATACCCTCAGCTATAACTGCTCAAGAGGCACATTATTGTGGAAACTGCATTTCCAGAACTAGGGAATATGAAAGACATATGCCATCAAAACACACACCTCCTGTTTATTTTTCTCTAGTGGTACTGTAAACAACTAATAAATCTTTGTCAGTCAAAAAGAAATGCTGTTGTGACAGTCCATTATGTTAGTTCCCATACTTTCGGTATATTACAACCTTCAGTTAGCTCAGTGACCAAAATTTTACATGAAAATTGTTGACTGTGTAACAGTAGCTGTGCAAATTTTAAAGCTGTGCAAATTTTAAAGCAGCCTCTCATATTAAAACAAGCTAACTGAAAACACAAAACACTTGGCCTTCTGTGATAAGGTCATGCTAGCTCACTTTAAGTAGTTTACTCTGTTTAAAGCTTTTTACCTCCTCATCAGATGTTAAGTGTTGAACTGAAGTTTCATTTGGGCTTTGGGATAACTTTATTTCCGGCTGTACATCTGGATGGACAGACGAATCCCAGAAGTTGCACTCAGATGCCTGCTTTGTCCAGTCAAGTGCATCCCAAACTATTAACTCACCCACGTGAGAACCAGTCACAAAAGTCAAGTCTAGAGGGTGAAAAAGAAGACAACCAACCCCACACAGAAATCGCATGATATAAAAAACCCACTTCACACAAAGTTACAGCCCTAGAAAGTTAAGAGATCCCATTTTTGAGTGAAACTATGTAGAATGTGCAGTACATAACCAACTGGATAAAAACCTCTCCCTTTGAGTAAGTGCTCATTTGATTACCTAGCATAGGTCAGATGAGCAAAAGGAGATGAGCTCTCTTGTAAAATTAAAACTAGGAAGGAGAATGTTCACCAGCCACAGTGCACAGTACAGTATAGCAAAGGCAAGGAATACCACCAAAAGTATGTACAAGTATTTGAAGTTCATTTGTTGCCTATGTACAAAACTGTTCTATTCCCTGGACAAGTAGGTATGTTAGCACCCCTCAGAGACAGCAAAGTATGTCTTTGCCATAAGCAGAAATACCGATCACAAATTAAATGGATGAGTTAATGGCAAGATTGAAGTAGCTGCTCGTGAATTTGTCAATCACACGTGGAAAGGAACTGCTTCAACAATACTTAATACAGGTAGCATATTGTCTTTTTAAGCCAAATGTTGCTTCATCTTCATAATCAAAAAGGAGAAAATAATGGCAACAGGAAGTCCCAGAAACAACTATCATAGAATCCAAGTTTTCTTCTTTCCAGCTTCTTGTTACCTCTGTACCATAACCCCTTTGTGTCAATCAGGCTGACACAAATAAGCCCATGGACAAATACATGCTCCCTATCACACCAGTAATAACTCGTCCTGGGCTCTGGGGATGCTCTATAAAAAGAGTCAGGGGAGAACAAAGTAGAAGGGATTGATACCTGCAGCAGAGAAGACAGAATTTCAGGTAATAGCTCAGTATTGCCCTAATAAGCAGTAGAGATTGCATCATCTTCCAGAGCCTCTAAATAATGGGTCTACATGCAGGCCCACATCTGCACACCCAGAACTTGCAGTTACCTTGGGACTACAACTGCAAAGGATGTGGCACTGTATATTCCATTTTAAGAATCAGAAGGAACAAGAAAAAATAGCATTTTAAACTTTCCCAACACAAAGAAAATCCAGAGTTCCATCCCCATCAATGACATTGCCTCTTTTGTGCCTTTTGTATATCGTAACCTGCCTGGTTTCATTTCACTGTTAATCAATAAATAAAGCCATTATATTTTCACATTTCACTACCTTTGCAGCTACACAGGAAGGCACATCTACTAGTTATTATGTTTCACTCCAGTTAGAAGTTTGGTCCCAATAAAAACTCCATAGCTGAAATATCCCACTGGTAACTAACAAAATTAGTAACATTATAAAACAACTCTTACCATTGACACTGACTAATGACAAAATGTTATCCTGGTGGTCAACAAGACGTTTTACTTCAAGGACATTCCAACCTTCAGACCCATCATCAGAAGTAATCAACCTAAAAATTACTTCAAAGATAGAGACAGAAATTGTCTAAATAAACTTTATCATTCAGAATAAAATGTAGCTATGCTTAAGTAAAACATATCATTTTTGGAAAGACACAAACTAAAACATATTAAGTGAGACAGTACAAGATGTGCAAAGCCACTTATGACCACTCATAACACCAAAAAAATGGGAATAAAATATTTCAGTGTTATTATTAAGGCCTCTTACTACAGCAGCTATAGGATAAAACATTTCAGCCTAGTAACTCTGAAATTGAGAGAATCAGTCAACATCAGAAGCTGCAGAAAGCCAAAGTGAAAAGTATTAGACATCTTTGTGGATAAGTAAACTAAAAGCAAAACATCTTTCTTAAGGGCTCATCTGACTGAAAACTATTATTCAAAAGGATGCAATATTCTCTAGTAAGGCAATCAAGATCACCAGGAATTAAGACTTTATTTTAACCAGCCTTGGAATTTTTTTTTATGATCTCTCAAGAGCACTACAAAAGAACTGTGGGAAGTTCAGATGGAAGTTTACATTGCACACCAATGTCTGAATACAAGATGATTTTTAATTTGCTCCTGATTCTTTGATCAGAATATCAGATTGCTATTTTTCAGTTAAGTTTTTAATCATATTGAGCAAAGTCTGTTTTGCTGATTCAGTGTTCTACTTTTTCTCTTCAATTTTTTTCCATATTTTGAAATTTCAGTAATTTTATAAAACAGTCTTACTTAAAAGACTCTCCACCAGCAGCTAGCCAATGATTTACAGTTTGCATACATAGAAAACCCTGCCTCCAAGTGAGCAACAGAAACCATCACATTGTCTCTTTATAGCTTTGGACAGGATAAGGAGATCAGCAATATCTCACACTGCTGATCTTGGGATAAGGAGGCTCTAGAGAAGCCTAGCATCTGACAGCTCAGATAATGAGTTCCAGATCTTCTCCAGAAGGACAAATTTAGATCACCACAATCAGATCTGGACAGGTGGCAATAACTGTAATAACAATAACAAAGAATATAGAAAAGTTTTGTCAAGCAGATCTCAACAAAATTCCTGAATGAGATTAGTATTGTCTGCCTCTTTGTCAAATAAAGGAAAAAGGAAGAAGGTTACTAATCACACCCTAATACCATTTATTTTTCCTATACAATCCCAGCAGCATGCTCTTTACACATATCTCAGATAAGCAGCTGTTACAGAGGAACATGAACATTCAACAGAAATGCAACATACTTACTTAGCTCTTTACCGACAGCTGCTGCAACACAATTTTTAGGCAATTCAACCAAAGCACTGATACCTTTGAAAAAAATACAGGAGGTAAGGGAGAAAAGGATATTCATTGGCCACAAGAAAACACAGCAAACTCAATTCCTTATTAATAAATTTCTTCATAATCTTCCTTCCACTTAAAAGTTGTTATTATTAAAATAAAAGCATATTACCAAAACTGAAAGTTAAATGGCCTTGGAAGTGAACAGATTACCTCAGATGGAGGTACAGTCAGGAGTTTTTGTCCTGAATCCAGCAGAATTCTGAACGTCAAACTTGAGGTGAAGCTGAGAGTCAGTAATCTTTTCATTTTAAATACAGTTAAGATGTTTCTGTCTTAATGTTGGACAATATTACAGACACTGGGGTAATTATTGAGACTCTAAACATGTGCAGTACCAAAGTTGTTAGACACTGATACTATGTCGTGGTTTCAGCCCAGCCGGTAACAAAGGACCACGCGGCCGCTCGCTCACTCCTCCCGCCCCCCTCCGGTGGGATAGGGGGGAAGACAGAGGAGAGGAAAAAAAAAAACAAACCTGGAACCTCGAGGGTTGAGATAAAGGCAGTTTACTGGAACAACACAAAGAAATTGCAACAACAACAACGGTACTAATGAAAAAGTATACAAAAAGAGTGATGCACAGTGCAACTGCTCACCACCCGGGACCTGACGCTCTGCCACTTCCCCCACCGAAAAGAAGAGCCCACCCCCCGGCCCGCTCCCCCTTTATATACTGAGCATGATGTCACATGGTATGGAATAGCTCCTTGGCCAGTTCAGGTCAGCTGCCCCGGCTATGCCCCCCACCTCCCAGGTTCCTGTAAAAAAAAATTAACTCTATCCCAGCTGAACCCAGGACATACTACTACAGCACACATGATACTAGAATATTGTGCAGAGCCAGCTGAAGAGAATAGGGTACAAGATAAAATGTCCAACTTGCTGTTACTGTGCCTTCCTCCAGCACAGAATTTCCCCAGTCTGTGCTGCCACACCATTAAAAGAAAATTCCCCAAGGAATAAGTAATCTGTCTCTTTCCCCACAAAGGAAGCAGGGGATTAGGAGGAAAGGGAGGGCCCATGCTGCACATCACATGACCCCTAGTACAAAAATTTCAATAGCACCTCATGCTAAGCCTTACACCACCACTTCCAACTAGCACTTGGCATGGTATTTCGTACTAAACCAAAAGAAGTATTAATACCCTCAAAGATTCAGAAGGTTTTGCCTACCACTACTCCATTCTGTGACAAAAATAAGGAAAATATTGGTTCCAACTTTGAATCTGATTCACAGCTTCGTAGGTGTCTTTGTAAAGTATGGCAATAACATGTCACAATTTTCTTCACATGGACAGATGATATATAAGCTTACTAATAGAAAACCATGACTGACATTGAGTTCTGATTACATTTACTGTATTTCTATCAAAACCTGCATTTTCTACATCAAAAGTACTGATCCTTAATAATAAAAAGAAATCTTTACTGCTCTACTACTACAAAGCTTTACTTAGGACTAATAAAACTCCCGCTTGTTCCCAGAGAAAGCCAGCCAAAGGATCCACATTACAGCAAACACGTATAAACCAGCATCCAAGGTCCAGCCCTGTAAGTCCAAGCTAATGTACAGGTACTGAGATCTCACAAATTCTAAAATTCACACAGCACAGGAGATTAAAAGTGGTCTTAATTCTAAATCAATTCTGACATTAAAAAAAAAAAAAAAAAAGAGAGAGAATGTCTCTAATACATGATGTTATCATTGGAATTAAAGAGAATTTGCCAAGTTGGTTTTGCATCATTATACAGATCCATTTTACTTACACTTTAACAGTTATAATGAGTCATTTACATTTTTACCTGCATCAGTAAGATGACTGGTCTTACACAAGAGATCTAATTTTCGGTTCCAAACACACAGATCACTCCCTCCAGACAACCATACATCCAGTCTTTGAAGAACTGTCAAACACTGCAGAACAAAAATCAGATATATGTCCCCTGCAAAACTTCTACAGGGAATTTCTCAGCGAAATGATCATGAGCTTTAGCTAAAGCTGTAAGTACTACGAAATACAGTATTAAGGTGTCACTACCGTGAGAAATATAGATTTAATTACACACTATATGTTACATTTTTCCATCAACAAAGCAAAAACCTGATTTTTCAGTGATTTTTTTCTATTACTAACATTCAAGAACTAGTTTGACTGAAGGTTGCCTTTTCCAACACAGTAACAAAACCAAGCCATAAAATTACCTTTGTTCTACATCCTTTCAAAAAAAAAAACCAAAACACCAAAAAAACCCCCCACAAAAAAAACCCCAACAAACCCTGAGATATCAAGAGTTCCAAGACCAAATTAAGATTGTGCCCACTTCTCAGCCACTCATTATGTACCTGTTCCTAAACCAAACACTGCTGTTCATTTTAACACACCTGCCCATATGGCCCATGAGCCATACATGATAGATTCTCTTATACAACAAAACAACAGACATCCCTAGGGTTTCATCAGCCTACCTTTACAGTGGAATGGAAACATGACACTTTCTGAACTTGTCTGCCACTAGTGCAGTCCCAAACCTGACTTAATTCATTAAGGAAACTGAAAGGTTTTTATATATTATAAATGTAACTGCTGTGTTTGTAACTAAATGACAGATTGGGAAATAGGTATGCAGAGACTCAAGTCTTATTGGCCAAAAAGACTTATTAATAAAGGTCTGTTATGGATTCATTTTTGTAGCAAGGATTGCATCTACTTCTGAGCAACAACTAGCAAAATCATAGTGTAATCCAATTATACCTACTGGATCAACCAATAAATTTAAACAACCTGCAGCCTGTCTCAATGCTACCTTTAAAAGTAACAACCAACAAAAAGCCCATAGAAATTTGAATCCTCTCCAGAGCTAAGGATACAATAACTGTTCTATCAGCTGATGCTGTTAAAATCAAATGGTTTTTTTCTTCAGAAGCATCTGACGAAGAAAATGGTGCTATAGCTGTAATTTTGTGTGTGTGTCCACGAAGTTCAAAAAGTTTTTCTCCAGTCTGAAAAATAAAAACATGGAAAACTAAAGGTAAAATTTGGAAAATGCCTACTATAGCATATGACGTAGGTACCAAATGACTTTTGAAAGCAAGAATTTCTAAGAGTTTAAAAATCTCCCTTTCTAAAGTAATTTATGGATTTACTTCTTACTATCTTCAACACTGTTCAATACTCGGAATTAAATAACCTATTAAGTGTAAAGTTGTAGTATGTAATATAAATTACTCTAAGACTGAAAAAAAACCCTAACCTCTAAGAACCATTAAAAACTAAGTTCTCGTTTCATTTTAATGCAAATATTGGCCATTCACCCTTTTTAACAGATACTACAATAATTCAGATTTGTTGACAAACCCTCTCTTTAAAAAGTAATCTTTTTTATTTTAATTATTAGAAAAATTTGACCCATCTTTATGGCAAACACAGTACTGCGAATTTCCTGACAGCTTTATTTAGTATGTACATTATCAACAGCTTCAATCTGGTGGTTTAGATAGGGCAGAAGTAGCTGCAGTTATTTAGTTAGATGGCAAAACCCTACAAACAAACATGCAGAGCTGGCATTTTAAACATGCTATTAAAATATAGGGTACTTATAACTGTAAGTTTCTTTACACTTGTGGCTTAAGTTTTTAAATTAAAACTACAAATTATTTGCTTTAACAAAACCATAATAAAAATCCTACAGAAGTAGAAAATGGAACTCAGTTCCTAAGCTGGGTATCTAAATGCAGTTCACATTCACAAACTGCTCAGAACACTGAGTATATATAGTCACATACATGGTTCTGAATATTCAAAACACCATTTCCTTTTCCAAATCATAGAATTATAAAAGGCCTTCAACAACAGCAAAGCACTAACTGCAACTGCTCAAAAGAGAGGAAAATTTTCCAGTTCCCCTTCTGTATTTTAAAATTACACCATCATAAATGTCACATCAATTTTTGAGAAGGTTTCTAAAAAGTTAAGAGTCTCAGATTTCTTTCTGCCTTAATTGGAATGTTTGATACTCACAGTTTAGACATCACAGTATGTGTCCCTTTTAGACTTCCTACTGAACAACCTAACTTGTATACTAGCCCTCCTTAACACAGGTCTAAAGGGCATCCCTCCGCTACAATTCTGTCAATGATATGGAGACAGACATCAGAAGAGCAGAACAGTGGGTATCACACAGAACACTATTTCCATGATAAAACTAATGTCTTAGTAAGGTTTTCAAAAGTTATAAGATTTTTATCACAGCAAGCAATTAAGTGTTCCTGCACTGCATGACATGTTTAACTTCTGCTGACTTTGCTGTCTTTCCAATGCAGTTTTGTGTTAGCTCTCCATTTAGTCTAACCAGTTATACCACAAAAAGATATTGCTAACGGAGCCACTGAAATGTACTTAAAACTTAAGTATATATATATACATACATCTTGGCAGGATTGGCACCTTGCTACATATTTGTTGAGTTACTAGTCAACACTTCAGTGTTCATAGCAAACGCTGAATGTATTTTAAAAGAAGAATTAAAGCCACACGTTCATATACACTTCTGCTTTTCACATCACCATTTCATCTCAAATCTGTCTAAAATCACTATGTTTTCCCAAAACATTCTAACTTTTAAAACTTACTGTTCTTTGGGTTCATACAACTTTTACTTCCCTAGCTCTCCTTTGTAAACTAAGATTTGACAGACCGCCTCCACTTACATATTTTCAAACAGTAGCTCTGCAACAATTCTTTCTTACTTTGCTTTTTTGCTACTAGACATTGCTAACTCCTCTCCCCAGCTTCTATCCTCTCCAGAGCACACAAGCTAGGTCCCCAAAAAAGAGCTAACCTGAGCATTCCACAGAAATATGATTCCATCATCTCCTGCAGATGCAAACCTGGGAAAAAAAAAAAAGAAAGAAAAAAAAGCTGTGAAAACTTCAATATAGGATAATGTAATGGAAAAGCAGTGAAGAGTAATGTAAGAAAAATATTTACAAGATATATCAGACTCTGGCTTTAAAGAATAAACAGGTATTCATAAATCCCAATTACAGTTTATAAACTGAAGTCAGTACATTTAAATAGGTGTTTATCAACATATACTTAATATAAGAACAAGGCTTAAGAATTCCAATACAAGTTATTATAAATAGAATCCCACATTACAGAACCAATTCTCTTGTTTAAAAATATGAGATCTTACACACCAAATAACAGCAAATTCTAAAACCAAATACTATTAGTCAGACCCAACTGACTGCAAGACATCTAACAAGTTAGAAACCACTCATCTGAGTTCAGCCCAGGAGTAGAGGCACCCAGTACTTAACATGATACTTTACACTGTGGCTTAAAGAACTCCCAAAGGGAGTGCATTTAAGGTAGTAAATTTGACTTCTAAAAATACAGCTGGAAGGTATACCATATGAGGAAAAAACAGGTTCATATTAGTGTGTTAAACTCATATTAACAAAGTCTGACCTAAATTCAACCTTCTTCCCTATGCTAGAGTGAATATCTAACCATCTGCTTACATTTGCACCTTATCACCACCACAGCTACAGTGTAGCTGGAGCACACATCCCAGCTACCCCAGCAAAGGCATACTATGAGCTGAGAAAGCCTAGAACAGAAGCAAGACCTTCCATAGAAAACTGAATTCAGTTGTTACTTGCAAATATACTTGCCTTCTGATTTTTAACTGTTGTTTTAAGCCTTCACCAAGGGCTAAACAATTAATATTTAGAGAACTAACTAAGATTTGTACTATGTGCAAAAAAGTCATGAAGAAGAGAGGTTACATCACTTCTGAATTTTTTTTTGTTACCCGCAGTGAATGGTTTCACTAACTATAGACATGTCCTTTCTTTTAGACTCTGCAGTTACAATGTTTGTGAAACTTGCTAACAGAGTAAATTTTCAGGCATAAAGCCATAGGGGTTTTTCGCCACCCTCTTTCTTCCACATATCCTCCTGGTTTGTTCTATTATAGTGTAAAAAAAACCTGTAAGCTGTACTTTCTTTATAGCTTTCATTATTTTATATCCAATTTAAAAAGATTAGAGCAAAAAACAACCTCCCATGCATACCTCTGATAACATTAATTTCTTACCTTTTGTTGCCTTTTAGCTCTATTGTACCTTGTTTTGTCACAATGTCAAGAACTTAAAAGAGCAATACTCTCACAATTCAGCAATAACCCTTTAAATTCTAGTTCCTTTCTTGAGTAATACTGGAGCTGTGTGCCACTTGAACAAAATTCTGGGAAGAAAACTGGTGTTTGAAAGAAGGCATGAGAGTAATTCATCAACACAGAAGTTTCAATAGAGTGCTGCTTTGTGTATTTTACTCCTCATCTTCTAACCAGGATTTCTGTTTAAATATAAAGGTATACTGTAGAGTCAGTTACCCTACAGCTATGTTCTGTTCACCAAAGTGAAGATTCATGGGTCACCTGATTCTTTTCCAGTCATGATCACCATTATCTACAACCTTGTCTGTTTCCTGAAGGAGCAAGGAATGGTCAAATAAGCAACAAAAAAAAGCTATTCTTAAAATGTATTATGAACTCTGTTTAGTTTAATGTGCCAAATGCTAGAGTATTATGTGTAATTTTATCTCAGTCCATTTTTTTGAAGGCTTTTGCTGTGCCTTAGCCTTCTTTAGTGATCTTCCAATCAATATGACCCTTACTTCATGTTCAAAAAGTACAAGAGAAAAGGAGGAAAAAAAAACCCAAAGAAACAGCTTTCTGTTACATTTATACAGGATTTATTTAGTATCTTCAAAAACCAATCTGAGAAAATTTTCCACTCACTGGTTTTAGCTGAGCCACTGAGAAAACAAGAAAATCCTTCTGCAAAATTCTCAATAAGATGATATTATCTAAAGACCTGAAGCGTGAAACCTGGCTTACAATAGTTGACAAAAAGCACACAATGGAATAGCTACAGAAACTAAGTAAAAGCATTTCAGAAGCTGAGTAACAATACTAATTTTACTGAAAAGAATCAAGTGAAAAATATTATCAGCTGTTTAACAATCCAGAAACTACCATATTCTTGATAAATAAAACCTCTGAATTACTGTCCAGTGAAGCAACTCTATTAAACTCCTCAAACTCTCAGATTATTAACCAGCTATATAATTCACACCTTATCCATATGCTATTTTATAACTTGTCTTCATGCGGTCATCCAGGCTTTAGTTTTACACTGATTACCATTAGTTTAGCTTCAATAATCTACCTGCGACCATACAATGAAGCCCCAAATGGTAAAAAATTTCTTTGCATGAGACAGTGCAAGCAATCTAAGACTATTCTGGTATTTCTACAAAGATCAATTACATTTATTGAGTATGTGTTTTGGAAAAAATGTACTCTGAGGAAAGGTTATTTTAATAACTTGTCTGGGGAAAAAAAGGACTGAAAAAAGGCAGAAGATTCTTCTATTTTTATATGAATCTTCTGGTGGATTACTACAATGTAGAAAAATAAACTTTATGGTAATGCATGTAACTTTTTTGATATATATATTTATGACATTACAAATGAAAACTGGCAAGCTAAAAATTCTCCATGGATTCTTCTGTGTAATTTATTTTTTTCTTTACACAAAATTATTAGAAAATAAGATTCTGCAGGCATCCAAATTTTGAAGATACCACCTGCCCAATCATGAGGAAGGACAGAACTTTCCTTCACAAAACACCTGCAAGGATATAAACCAAACTCTTACCCATGTTAACTATGTAGTGTTTTGATGAATATATTAGAAATCCCCTTCTGTGCCTAATCCATAAAAGATACAGATTACCACAGCTCCTTAACAGAGAGACTCTTGCCTATTACTAACGTTCTTAGTTCTAAAGGTTTTCTATTTAATTGTCCACATCAGCCAAGAGTCACTACACTTATTATTGACTAAAGGCTTCAGAACCTTCCTTTTAAGGCGGATAAATATTTCCTCTCTTGCAGGATTAAGTTAAATTAGAGAACACGCAAGGCTAATTTAGACAACGCTAGGACAGAAACCAGGTCGTAATGTAAAACTAGCATAATTCGTTCTCTCAGTCACACTTCCAAAGTGACAGTGGGAACTAAGAACAGAAAAGATAAAGATTATCAAGGAATATACAAAAAAAAGTGCACAAAGCTAAAAATTGGACAAGAGAAACAAAGGAACTGTCAGGTTTCAAAGAAGTACAGCAAGTTGAACAAGATCAAATTGGAGGAGATACATAACACAGAGATTAGGCGTATGTTGAATTTTACTAAGTAGTCATTCTGAATAAAGTGGTGAAAATTTCAAAATTTGAGAACTTCAGAAAAAAGTTCATTAACTGAAGCTCAAGTGAACTAAGCCCTAAGAGTATCAGAAGAAAGTGTAAAAAAAGATTGGAAAGAAAGGAACAGCAACATTCAATATTGTTAAGAATGTCATGTTCAGTTGCTACAGTGTATCTGTAGGAGTCTACTACATTCTTCTGTAGAACCAAAAGGTGAAATAACAGCTGTCCTCAATTAAAAAACATAAAACATATGCATTCACTCAGAACAGAAGCCGATACTACTGCATACTGTCCTGAGAGAAAATGTGTGTTTGCATGCACAGAACATTCCCCCCAGGAAAAGCCTGAAAAAGAAAGGCTGAATTAGCTAAAGGCATTTCTTTCAAACAAATGAATTTGTACCAAGAAACATAACTCCACCACCATTATTTTCTCATGAAAGTATAACTTACATGAGAAGCCAAAAAATGTAGTAACATACAAAGAAAAGGGAGTGTTCACCCCTTGCCTTTTTTAACTCCAGGCTTTTCCTGCCCTCCCCCACCAAAAATAAAAAGACAGGATTAAAACTATTACTACATTTTCATAAATATTCTCTAAAGTACTGCCAATGCTGTGAAACAATTTGAAATGCAATTTCATACCTGCAATCATCTATTTGCACTAGAAATCGTACTATATCTTGATGACCTTTCAACACAAGGAGCTCTGTGTAAGGATTCTGTATTTGTTCTTCACCAATTGTCTGTACAGATGATTTCTAAAATTCATAAAAAAAGAATAAAATTTATATTGTACTGACATAATTATTTTCATCAGGTCTTTGCAATGTCTAACAATCTACATACAGACTCGTGTGAATGTATAGTTGAAGTTAAATTAAGTTTCTGAAATATTATTTTGATTTAATGAAAATCATTACAAAAAATAATTTCTTATTATTTCAAGTAAATATCTTTCTATAGCATGTACTTTATAATATAGCATTTTCTGTTTAACAAAAACATTTTGTACTGCTTTAATCACTGATACACCAAGATGAAAACCCACCAGTTTAGTCATGAGCTGTCATGTGGAGCCAGCTTCATGACTCAATTCACCATACATTCAGTTTTTCATTAAATTACACCTCTTCCAAGAGGTCTGAGAACCTCTCATATCTTTCATCTACCATTCAATTTTAAAATCCTATATAAAGATGACATATTTAAAATAAATAAGAATAAATGCTGTTGTGTTACATAATATATATCATCCGTTGGGACTCATAAAAGCAAACCACTTAAAAAAACATAGAGAATGATTAATCATTTTATAGAACAGCATCTGCAATTACCCCCAACTAGACTATTAATTAAAAGAACAATCAATCACTCAGAGCAAGCTGATCACCAGGCAGGCTCAATAAAATATCACATAGAACTGCGGTATCATCAGTTTGTTTCAACAGAAAACTTTTTTTGCATACAAGGTCTTCCACATTCTGGAACAACTTGCTATTAGATATTATTAAAAAAAAAAAAAAAATCTAAATAGCTCAGTAGTAACACAGTGACAGCACTCTCCTCCTTCTAGATTTATTTTACATGACAGCCAACATCATCTTACTTCCAGGACTGTCTCTTCTTTGAGGACTTCAACAGAACCTACACTGTAAAACTGTAATTACTGAACACTGTACAACATGCAGCGCACATGACAGGTAATCCTACGTGAAAGACAAACATATGATCCTCAGAAACTTCAACAGTTTCTTGCAGGAATAATAAATTATTTTCTATTATTTCGGTATTGGTACTATGATACTATTCTTCAGAAATTAAGAATGGCTAAGTTAATAAATAGGGAAAGAAATATGTGTTTATTTTTAAAATTAAGAGGTTGTCAAAATGCTAGTTCTTGTGATTTTATCTTGGTTTTGTGCTATCTGATGCATTTCATGAAGCAACTGTTCCTCATTTTATGCAATTATGTGAGAATAGCAGTTCCCATTTAAAATAACGCAAGCAGAGTCTGCATGGTTATAAAGAAAAGTTAGACAAACATGGAAACTTGGAGTTCAGCTATCAAAAGCTAATCAAAACATTCCTTTAAAAAAATTGAGTCTTCTAAAAATCCTAAGCAAATCTCAGCATCACTCAATGACATTAGCAATACCGTAGTTCAGGAGATTTCCGTTTTTATTTACCAATAGACACATACATTCACAAAACAATTGTAACACCACTTTGAAAAAGTCAGAATCTGTAACATTAACATCCCAACTCTATATTCTGTTATTGGCTCCTATTCAGTACAAAACAGTGGTACTTCTTTTGAACAATGTGTCTTATCTTATTTTTTCTTAATTCTAAGAACACCTGTGAATATTGAAAGGTACAGTGCTGATGAAGTACTACAGATAACAACAAAATAACAGTTTTCCCCCCAGTACTGTCATACAACAAGCTATGCTCTCTTGAGATCTTCATTAATAGTTACCTAAGTGTTGAGTTACGTGTGCATTCTTCCTCTGATGAAATACATTTTGAGATAAGCTATTAATTGAACTCTCTTGTAGGAACACTACAGTTTTAGAAGAGAAAGTTAGACACTGATGCTAATGGAATCCACTCCCAACTTGCATGTCTTTATGCATCACTACAATAATCAGTGAAAACAACACAACATTCATCTCTGCTTCAGAACTTCCTATAACCCCTGTGATTTGAGTTTAAAAGCAGGATTTTCAAAAGCAATTCACCAAAAATATGGATACAAGAGTATACAGACATACTTATGTATGTATCGTGGTGCACGATAAATTAGTTTATATGGACCATGATGCTACTGCAGTTAGACTGCTCCCATTACCACAGCCAACCTGCTTACGACATACACTATGGCCACCAATTGAAGAGATTCAGGATCTTAAGTCCGAATGATTTTCAATTGCATAGTAAAAAAAGAAATGGGTAAGGAGAAATTTATATTTCATTACTTTAGGACAGCTTTGCCAGAGGCCTTCTCTATTCTCCCAATGCAATGTCACTCTTAATACACTGGTCTCTTCATGACCGGCTGAAGCCATAGCACATGAAACAAACACTCTAAGTCCATAGCCCACACACTGCTATGCACCTCCTTATCTATTTAAGGAGATTACAGAGAGAATTAATGGTTATGAAGAAGATCTTTAGATGAAACCGTATTACATAATGTAGGAAAAAAAGAACAAAAAGCATTTAGGCACTAACCCTTGTCAATATGTGTTATTCAGTTTTTCCACAGAGAAGTAAAATGATCGCCATCATTCAGCAAACCAGTGGTAGCAATGGGAACAGAAGTCCTGTGGACTGGGTTTAACCAAGCTACGAATGGCAGAATGGAAGAACTGGACCACACCTTGACTCACGCTCATGCTTAATTAAATCACAGTATAACTAAACCATAGCCAGAGTTTAAACTTTGGAGAGGGACACACACCAACGTCATTTTCTAGCACACCTTAGAAAGCTGTTGCATACTTCCTGTCTTTCTTTTAAAAACAACTGCACACAAAGCTGCTAAATATGACTGCAATACAATGAACATTTTGACTGATGACAAAGGTCAGAGGCATTCCCAAACATCGTCATTCCAAATTGGTACAGACCCAAACTTCCACCAAAGTAACTACTGGCATTTTAAATCAACCATGATATTGTCATGACTTACTCATGTACAGCAGCTGAGAAATAATTACTTCCTCATAGTTGCCTAGATTACAAAAGCACTAAGTGTAAGGAGCCCAGTAACAGTGTTAATTGACTCTTGTTAAGTCCAGGCTGAGAACTTCAGCAGACTTTTAGGGACAAGAAAATCCCAGTAAACTCTCCCTCAAATCCAGTAAAACTCGTTCTGAGCAAGGCAACAGGAAGGATGTCAGTGTTCAGTGCACTGCACAGCCCTGGTTTATTTTACAGATGAGAAACTAAGACGAAATGCTAGAAGACTACTACAAACTACAACCAGGCCACATTCACGACCTAAAATTTACATTATCGACCGGGGAGTCCCGAGGGCAGGACTCCATATGCTTGCAAGCTATGCAACACAACCCCCACTTGCCCAGGACGCGCAGAGCAGGAGGAAGCCGGGACGCTCCCGACAGGGACCGGTCCCAAACCCTTCAGCTCCGGCCCAACCTCAGCCGGGGGGTTCTGACGTTTGCTTTTACGTTTTTTTCACCTCTCCTCTTTCTCTTCAACGACGCTGGTAACCCTTTCTAACAGCCGGAAAGTCTCACAGGCTGCCAGCTAGCCCTGAATTCGGCCCCTCGCTCCGGAGAGCCCAGCGGAGGGCCCAGTCGCGCTGCCCGGGGACAGCAGACCCGCCCCGCCGGAAAGGCCTCGCCCAGCACTCCCCTTCCTCACAGCGCTCCCCCCCCAGGCCTACAGCTGCCCAGGTCCCTCCACCGGCGCCGTGCTCCGTGAGGGCGGCTGTCCCCCCCGGCAGCCCC